AAAAAAAAAAAAAAAAAAAAAAAAAAAAAAAAAAAAAAAAAAAAAAAAAAAAAAAAAAAAAAAAAAAAAAAAAAAAAAAAAAAAAAAAAAAAAAAAAAAAAAAAAAAAAAAAAAAAATATATATATATATACATATATAAATACGTTATAAGAAAAAAAAATCTTTTTAATACCTTTTACGTTTTTTTTTACGTTTTCCTTTAAAAAAATATATACATTATTTATTATTATTATATAATAAATATAATAATATGCCACGAGTTAATCCTTTACGAAATCCAAAATTTTTAGTATTATGTGGAGTTTTCTCAATTTTTTTATTTCTTTTCATAGTAGTACCAGAATTTCAAAATCATTTTCCAATACCGATATCTGTTGATGTGGAACCAATACAATTATCTCCAGAATTACTCTTGGAACCGATTTATGGATATAATAATTATAGTGAATTTATTCAAGGTCATTTACCAATAGTTATATCGATGCCACATGGAGGACATTTATTTCCTGATTATATACCGGATCGTAAACAAACTTTTCCAAGTGTAGTAAAGTCAAATGATATTAATACTCAAGAAATTGGGAGAGAATTAGCCGAATTAATTACGGAAAAATTCAAAGGAAGAAAACCTTATATTATTATAAATCATTTAGGCAGAAGCAAACTTGATGTAAATCGTCCTTTGAGAGAAGGTGCTGAAAGTGACGGTAGTAATTTCCCTTCTGATACTCAAATAGCTTGGAGTGATTATCATACTTTTTTGAATAATGCTGTTGAAGAAATCGAGGAAAGATTTGGTCGTGGTCTTTTGATTGATATTCACGGTAAGACATTCATTTTTTTTTTTTAATATATCGTATTTAAATAGGTTCGTCAACTAAATTTTCATTATTACATTTAATATAGGACATGGACATCCAGAAAATTATATTGAATTGGGATATGTTTTATCATCAGAAGTATTAACACTTCCAAATGATATAATAAATTCGGATCCAAAAATTTCGGATGGTTCAAGCATAAGATCTCTTTATAATAGAAAACAAACCACATTAAGTTTTGCAGAATTATTACGTGGCAAAACAGCTTCACTTGGTGGTAGATTACAATCTTATGGTTACGAAACAATTCCATCTCATGTTCATGAATATCCATTAGTAAATGAAAAATATTTTCACGGTGGTTATAGTGTTCAAAAATATGGTTCAAGGCATGGTGAACAAGTTATAGATGCTATACAAGCCGAGTGAGTATTAAGTTGAGATTACCTTTCACATTCTTTGGGTGCAGAAAATATTTAATAATCTTTTTCTTTCCTTTTTATTATCATAGGTTACCAAGATTATTAAGACTTGGAAATAAAGAAATAAGAGATCAATTTGTTAAAGATTTTGCTGAAAGTCTTTCTTGGTTTGTAAAAGAATATTATTGGGAAGGTGGCCAAGGTTCAAAACGTTTAACGATGGATATGCCTGAACGCAATTAATTCGATTTTTTTTATTTTTTATTTTTTAATTTTTAATAATGTTGATAATTTTACATCATGTTGATAATTTACATCGTAAAAAAAAAAAGAAATTTTGGCTAATTTCATTTTAGAATTTCCACATATCATTTATTTTTAAAATAGAACACAAAATCATATCGCAATCAAACTTCATTTTAATTTTCTAATTTTTTTTTTATTACAAAAATTTATACGTTAATTTGCACGTATAATATCGTTTGGTATCAATTCTTTTTTAATTGTAAATTTTTTGTTTTTTCACATTTTTGTTCCTTTTTTTCCTTTTTTTAAACCNTTTTTTTTTAAAAAAAAAAAAAAAAAAAAGTAATTTAATAAAAGTTGTTACACGTTTAATTTCATATTTCAGTATTATGTGTAATTAATTATTATTTAATGGTTGCATGGGATTTCGCTTTTTCAAAATATTTTCTCGTATTTACGAAAGGGTAACGATACTAGCTAATCAAATCAATAAACCTAAAAATAGTTTGTCAAACAACCGAGACATAAATGGAGTTGAAGAGGTGTTATTGGATAAGAATTATATCGATTATTAAACGTGTAACATAGACTAAAAACGAGGAATGTATTAGGTAATTTTAAATAATTTATTATTACGTTTAAATGATTCCATATTCAAAGAAAATATTCTTTTTTTAAAAATAGAGTACAATAAAAAAGTTCGATTTTTTTTTTTTTGTCGATCGAACAATTGTGATAAAAAAAGATTTTTAGGGATATAAGGATATTGCATATGACAATAAGAAACCCCCCTAATTATTTGTAGTTCTTTATAGCATATTACATATGAATACTTGAACTATTCATACGAAAGGTATTCTTGCAGAAACACAAAATTACTCTTCTGCGTGAAATATGATGTGATTTGCCGTTTACTGTCGTAGCACACAAACTATACGTTCAAGTCTTTGACAAGCTAATTTGAAACTCAAAACTTCAAACTTTAACCAAGCTCATTTGAAACATGGTAATCTGAGACTTTATAAAATAGTTTAAAACATGTAAAGTTTAGAACAAGGATTAGATTGTATTAAGAAACATGTTACAATAATAATACACTATTTCAATACATTTAATTATTCTTTTTATTCTTTATTATTATTTTGGCGTAACTGTTACGAGGATTTACTGCGATAGATTTATTTACATTAATTAATTAAATAGCCCAAATTGGCAATTTTAATATAAATTTTGCAAATCTTATCTATAAACTAACAATAATAGGAGAGTTGAAGGAAATTTCACTGCGACAAAATAGACAAATAAATGTTTGTAGCAATATGACATGATTATTTGCCATACCAGATATAGGCACACACTCATACACACAGTTATTTAATTCACAGAAGATTCTTTAAAGAATGATTTAATTAAGTCTAAAAAAAAAAAAATTTTTACTTATTTGGAAATATCATAATTACACTAATATATTAAAAAAAAAAAATAAAATTGTCGGTGATAGAAGATCTAAATTTTTAATGAATTATAATTTTCTTGGGGAAAATATATGATTATAAAAAAGATTTATTGATTATTACATTAACGAAAAGTCTCCCTCGATAATCCGGATATTAGGACCAGATCTGGTCATATATAAATACTTGTAGTATACATTCTTGCGACTCGGTTAATTAAAGATAAATTATATAATTATTAAAAATTATTTAACATTATGGAGGTAATAATAATATATAATAATAATATCCCTGCATTACGTCATAAAGATATATCTGGTTACATACCCCGCATCCGCGCCCCGTACCGTAGATCGCTAAAACTTATTATTCGTGAAAGAAGGGTTAAAAGGAAAACTATTTATGGCTTCACAAAAATTATAAATTATCCCTTATATATTTTAAACATCATATGATAATAATTAAATATTTATTGTCAATAATAAAGCTTCTCGTTTTAAATCCATTGAAACTATTCACTCTAATTGTATAATTGTGACGTTTAAATTAATTTTAATGATTTGTTGATCGTCTTTATCTCTTTTATCTTAGAAAATCAATGCCAAGATAATTTGTAATATTAAATTTGAATCGTTCCTAAAATGGAATATTGGCCGATAAACTGATTTTAAAATATAGACCGTTAATTAAAGGAGAAATGATTAATAGTGACTTAGGAGCTAACTAATTAGATAATTTTCATGGTAATTATGTAAAGTAGTTTGAAACCGAAGTTTCAAACTCGTTAATAAACTGCGGTCGATTAGATTACATCGAATAAGCTTTTTAATTTTCATTATTACAATTGTTTCAGCCGACGACAGAGCAGTTATGTGTTTTAAATTTAACATAGAATGTCACACTGACAAACTTAGTGCGTGGATAAATAACTTCCCGAGAAACTCAGGGACAAACCGATAAGGGAATTTAGGATTAGTTTAGGATTAAGGTTAGATAAAGAAATTAGGGTTAAAATTAAGGGATAAGGGGCAGCGCACAAGAAAAATTCCGGAAATCTTCTGAAAAATACTGAAATCTGCAGTAAAATGTCCGAAATCATTCATGATTTAAAAAATTTTACCGGATTTTCAAAAACCTGTTGATGAAATGGGCCAGACCCTATTAGAAGATCTAGGAATTATGAAATTTTATAAATTCTGATATAAGTTAGTACGAATTTTTTTGTCAGAATAGTGATAATTGGAGTTTGTGAAATATTAGTAGTAAGTAACAAGAATGTTCCTGGTTACTTCAATGTCATGCTTAGTTAATAATTGATTTGTTCAGTGTATAATTGATAAATTTAAAATAAAACTTATAAATGCACTTATTAATTGGAATAAATTATTTATTGCACTATTACATTAAAAATAATTACAAGCTGCAGGTCATTGTACCTAAGGAACTTATATATAATCTCGAAGTCAACTAACAACCTAAAATATTTTCCAATCCATTTTAATCAATGTAATGTATACTAGAATAGATATTGTATGTCGTTTTGATAACATTTCATAAAAATGAGGTCCTTATGGGTCTATGGGTCAAGTAGTTAAACGATACTCCGATACTTTGCACCATGATCTAGATCACTCTGAAGATATAAATGAAATATTGTACAAGAATGCTTTATTTATTGTATATTATTAATACATGTATAAAACATGTAAACTCGGTCTTAATATAATATAACTAGTATTAAATTCTTCATTAATTTGTTTTACGTTTATCCTTCCTTCCCAATATATATAAATGCATTAACTAATAAAAATGATGGTGGATTAGTTTATAGATCAATAGATTAATCGAGTTTAATGAGACAATACTGAAATATATATGAACATTTTATTTACCTTGTTATCGCACCAAGTTTTGAGATTTTTTTCTTTGCATGGTTTCCAAATAAAATATGTTTTCCGCTCCCAGAAAAAACGTGGTAACGTTCATTTTCTTTCCTCTCAACGATTAAAATTCAAAGTTGATCATCAGACCATATCATTTATTTTCTTCGCCCCAAAGAATGTACTTAAATACATTTTTTTTTTTTTATTTTCATTAAAGGAAGAATACATAAAGCTTTAACCAGGTACAGTATATTCTTGGTATATAAGATCTTGAAAATTAAGTGCGCGTGATATTTTGAATTACTACGACAAATGCTACGGTATATACGGAGGTATCAATCAGTCAAAAAATCAAGTATCTATCTCATCAATGATATTTCATTTCTTAAAAGCTCCTACAATGAAAAACTAAGTCTTTGTTATAAATATCTCCTACTATGAATTTATATAACTTTTATGAATACTGAGGAATATATTTGTAACCTCTCACCTGATCTTAATTGAAAAATTTTACATTATTTTCTGTGAATTTGTGAAGCATCATGATTTTCTCACCTATATAGACGTCAATTTGCAATGTAAAACGAATTTAAATATTTTATACTACACCCAAGAATTAAATGACAAACTCTAAAGGAGTAAGATTTACAAATTTGATAAACGAAATACTCTGACACGTCTTGGAAGCCCCCACCTGCTCCCAGTAAGCTAGGTAGCTTCTTGACCTACTGATTCAGGAGGAGGAATTGGTTACGAACCTTCTTTAACAAAGAAACTTCCCTGTCGGGTGAGACTGATGAATGAGAGCTCCTCCAGTGTTGTCATATATGCGGAGAAACTGAGTCACACATTTGAAATGGACTTGTGAGCTCAGTCTTCAATTTCTTGACTTGTTGCTGGTTTATTTTTTTCGTTCCCTACTGACCGTGTTATAGTTAGAATTAACATACTGCCCATATCTCAGAAATTAGGCATGAGCTACTGCTAGTTACTTGCTGCTTTTCCATTGTACTAATTATTCGCTTAGTATTTTCTTACGTCAATTTAAATTATCTCTTCATTCATTATGAGAATCGAATGAAAAAAGATACAAACGCTCTTCAAAGAAAAACCCGAAATACAAGGGAAATATCCAAAGTCTCAAAGATCAACCTTGAATTTCGAGGAACCAAGCCTTGATTCTCGAAGAACACATTCTTAGAAAGAAAAAATCAGTCAAAGCGAACTTTCTAATATTGTAAAGGAATATGAATTGCTTTTGCGAGAGATTTCTCTTACCTTTGTTATTTAAACCTAACGTTTTTTTCAGTGCAGTTTCAAATATATAAGCAAAATAAAATATGTCGTCAGCATAATTAATAGGATAAAAGCCCAATCTTGAGACTTTATTATTTTCATTGTTATAAGAAGTCAGCTAAGTAAATAACATAATAAATAGGAGGAATACTCTCATAAAATGATCTAGCTATTTCTACTTCATACTGTATTACTTCCACGTATTCCATTTTAATTTCATAATAATTCTGCAAGAGAACTTTTTCAAGATGATGAAAGATCTCTCGTGAAAATTATGAAGCAAAATTTAAAGAAAAATAAGATTTCCAATTTAGTGTTCTTTTCGTTAAAACTTTTAACCGCGCTATAGTAACGAGTAAGATTTTGTTCCAGTTTGCATATTTTTCTGACGAATTTTCTCAGTGAACCTATATAATATAAGAATAAAAATCCGAAGCACTTATTTGATGCATCTATGAAACGGAAAAGTGATTGACAATGCAATGAAGTTTCTCTGGAGTTTGATCAAAGCGCCAAACTATCGTGTCTTATTCCTTAATGGATTTCTTTTCATTGATTGATAATAATTTGGTAAACAGATAACTCGAATATTTGTTAAAAATTTGTTTTTTTTGTTCATGACGGACGACTTTCTTTTTGTATGATTTCTGGCAATTATTATTCACGGCACAAGAATCGAATTTGGAATCCCTTTTGATGATAATTATGTTAAGATGATCAATAAACATTCCTTACAATAGAAAAAATTCATATATGGTAAACTCGTAAATAGTAATGTAGTAGCTACTTAATCACATGTCATATATTATTTAACAAATCTTTTATTAATTCAAAATGATAGAGCGAACTGAGACACACATAGTGATACATCCTATCTTACAAACTAACTGTAATCTTTTTATAAACAACTGGTTGCCTCCGCCATCAAAAAGATAAATTCACCAGATCCCTGAAAACCAATATATTTTCATCATTGCTCTCGCCAGTCCCTCATATTTGTGATGATTATCAGCTGATTTGATGAAATCGGAGACTTAAACTACGAAGATTATTCAATACCAAATTCCTACCAGAGTAATTAATTCATTCATCCGCATTGATTTGATACTCTGATCTATCATCTTCGACTTTTCTCATAATTACAGTATATGTCTACGTTCAAAAATATTTAAGCTTCAATCAAATATGGGACAAAATCTCGGTTATATAATTAATTTCTGACATTACCAATAAATAATATTATATATGTCTCCCTCAACACTTGTATTAGATTCTCTAGATTGATCGATCCTTGAATCATTTCTAAGGACTAGCATAGGCCATAATTTAATGCTGATGACGTAAGAAACATCGAATAATTCTTTTCCTTTAGCTTCTGTTCTTATTAATAGAAACATTTGAAGAATTCAAATTTAACTGGGATATATCAGTTCCGGTTCCGAATTGTTTTTTTGTTGACTCGTGGTGTGTGATGGCGTTTATACTATTATTGTAGATTATTTTCTTGCATATGACGCTTCTTAAATTCAGGTTCATCATATACAAAAATCTATTTATATTATCACTTCTAAGACTCTCTTCACATTTTTACACAAGTTGGTTGTGTCCTTAGTGCATCTTCGGTGAGCGAGATGCGTACTCCATTTCGCTCGTACAATAATGGTGTGTATGGTATGTGGAATGAAATACCAATCCAACAAATTTCCCACGATGCCATAACAAGATATACATATATACATATATATATATCACTACGTTAGCGAGAAGGATTACGAGTTATGACACCTCCCTTTAAACATCAATTTTGCTTTGAATTTGAAAGTTATTTGTATATATGCTCTAGATAAACACTGTTCATCAGCAGGATCTTTAGTAAAATACTTGCTTATTTTCTTTGTGCAAGAAGTTCATTATTCTCATGTAATTGAAGATTAACCAACTTATCATAATGTTCATCAGGAATTTCAACCTGCACGAGTTTAGCTTTGACATGAGTATTTTTTTTTTTTGTCAAATTCTTCACCGTCTTTTCTTGAATATATCTAAGCTCATCTATGTTCCCAAATAACAGACAAGTTTGGCCCAGTTGATAAAGTTAGAATCATACGAGGAAATAATATAGAAAATATTATATACTAAACGAAATTCTCTTAATGCGTCTAGTTTTTTTTTAAAAAAAAATTAGGATCTTTGTTAAAATAGAAACCAAGTAATAATAAGTATGTAAGAAAAAGTATAGTAAAAACTCGAAGTCACTTACAACATACTATTATCTTTAAATTAGACAATATTTTGTGCTACTCTCCTTCGGTTATACAAATTATTTCTTTTAGCAAATCGACAATTTTTTGGTTGCGTAGTTTACACGATCAGATCTATATATGGAAGATTGTTGAAACGTACTCGCAACGCATAGAATCATTATTATCTATAACTGATCTCGTATTTTTTCCTGCGTAGAATTTCGTCAACACAGAGTTAGAATTTGAAGAATTTTCATCAATTGAGTGAACGAATTTAACGAAAACGCGTGAATCTGATATTTGTAACGAAAAACAGAAATGAGCGAACTTACTTACCTAATACGAATTGTTACAATTGTTTATAATATCGAGTTTTCTAACACCTATCAAACTGAGGAAAAAGGAACTTGACCTGACGTGAGAATTTCAGAGGGCAAGTTTGTTGACCCAAAACTATAAAGCTTCTTCAAGAGAATTATTCAGCAAATATGCATTTAACATCTATAATATTCAAACTACTTTTTGCTCGTCTTGACTCTTGAGTTTGTAAAATTGGGACAAGTGTCCGTTATATTTTGCTTGCGTGAACGACGTTCCAGTTGCAGTGACGAAAGTAGAGGTTGATGCGAGAATATCTGTTTCTGACATAGCGCTTTTAGTTGGTTCAGATAAGAAATAGTGAAGAGAGAGAATTTTTGCGAAATTGTACAAGATTCGGTTGCACAAGCCTGTTGTGTGATCCGCTACATCAGTTGCTACATCACGTAATATACACATGACTTTTAGACGTCAAAAGAAATTACGTAAAAAACATTCTTTTTTCGAATTTTTCTTGTGCAATTGTTTATATTTGACGCTTCTAGCGCAATTATTTTATTTGATTAACGATGTCAATTTCACTCTGAGACTCGTATTCTTTTTTAATTTTATCAATCCTTACATTCACTTATTCAAACTGTAAAACCGAGAAGAATGATGTTATCGTCAAAAATTGCATCCAAACTCAAATATGTTTGATGCTGTAATTGCTGTATGGTATTTTATCATGTGATCATGTGATCATGAATCCAAAGATCTAATCAGTATTAATTTAGATTTTAAAATTTATTCAATTAATTATTTAATATTTGATTTTTGGAAATTCTTTTGCTTTAGAGTAACAATTGCTAACTAATTACAGTATATTACTTTATAATATAATAAATAATGACTGGTTTTGTATTGAAATCAATGAAGTATATTTCCAAAGTACCATTGATTTATTGTGTTTAATTTAATCGTGGAACATGCGTTTATATAATGTAAGTATAGTACGTTAAAGGTCCAGACCATTTGAAAAACGAATGAATTCTAAATAATTTTTGTTGTACTATAAATAAATTACATATTTATCCGAATCATTTGGGAATGAATCAAACAAAATATTTGCTTTGATTATCAATCCATCACTTTATCATCTAACACCAATACTTTATTTGAAAGATTATCGGTAAATGATTTTAAATGACTGTAAAATATTGGAATAATTCGCTCAATATTTCCTTAGATAGTTGTTACTGAATTTTGATCAATGATCAGGCTTACAATATATAAATTGTTAAGCGTTATTATTCTGAAACTCATTCCACTTAAAAGGAGGTTGTTTTGAGGGGCCGTACCATATCGCCATCATTTTTGGTTCGAAAATATAGTAGGTTGACGAATTGATGATAATCGAAGTAATAAAAGTTCAGAAAACGTTTTGGGTTGACTCACTTCCAAATGGTACAGATATATATGTACTTTGTTTATAGTACAAGTGACGCCATCAAAATTTTTGTTTTTATGCCAAGCATGCCAAGAAAAATTATTAGGTATTACAGTGTTAGACTTTTTGTCCAAAAACACAAAATTTGAATGAATTTCTTTTTTTGGCTGTCACAACTCACAAATTCTTTATCTTTATCTTTTCTTTCTTTCCAGAAAGTTTCTTGGAAAAAAATGATTTTGATGATCGGTTTAATCTCCAGATCATCATCCTTTATATATAGTCCTTAGGTTCCATGGCCATTTTCAATCTAATCCCTTTTTACTATAATTCCAATGGATTTTCGATTTATTTTATTCATCCTCTTAGTAGTTCTTGTTTCGTTTGTTTCTTCTGCTCCATCTTGTAATACTTGCACTTATGGTTGTCCAGGCGGTTGCCCAGGCGGTACTTCTTGCCAGTTTTCTAATACTGGCTATTCGCCGACTGCGTGCGTGTGTGCTTAAGCTCTATTTTCGGTCTGTATATTTTTACATTTCAACCTTTTCTTTATCACTTCAATATTAAACCTAATGGTTTTATAAATGTCGCTTATTGCGTTAGGTCTTCTTTTGACTTCTGTTTTGAAGGTTCCGTTTTTCTTATATCGGTAAATTATTCAATGATAGGACTTGCAGTTGCTGTAAACTGTATATTAATCCTATTTTAATCACGTGTAGTAAAAAACTTACGGTTGTTTAAAAGTTTTCAACCAGTCATCTTATAACAAAATTACAAAAAAAATCGAGAATTTTTTCTCAAAATTGTTTCTGTAGCCAATTTTTATTTATTTGTATTTTAAATTAATATTTCTGAAATTTAAAACGTAATTCGTTAGTGAAATATTAATAATAATTTGTAAATGAAAAAGTATCAATTAATATCTTGAAATAAAATTAATTGTTCCTAATCTTAGTTTGATAATTGCTGTATCTCTAATCAATGTAACTTAATTTTATCCACGAATTAACAATTATAAATAATTTTATGAAGTTAGTTTACTCATAACCCAACCTTAATTTTCGAATTGTTTATTGGTATCTAATAAATTTTCAATTACGACAATTACGATATCTGATATTAAATAATTCGATTAATTCGTGCTACTACCACCTTTGTCGCGCAGTTTTTAAGATGAATTTTTATACCTTAGATGGCATGCAATATCGGAAGCATATATGGGATAGATTACGTGTACATTTTTTGCATAAGTTAGATCGGTCCAATGTTGTTTGTAATTAGGTTAGCTCGTTGCGAATTTATGGAATCGATTTGATTCTTGCAAGTTTATACTTGTTTCACCCAGATATTTTCATATTATATTATTTCCATTTGATCATTTGATTAAATAATTAGTTTATTAAATCGATAATTGGTAAATGGTAAGAAATTAAGAGAGTTTTAAAAGTTTATCTCAGGACGACTAATTCATATATAATACATTTAACTCCCAAATTATTACGACAATATTCGATTCGGTGCGGCTTAGGACAAAAAATCGAACCGGCTGCGGTTAACGTTTTAAAAAATCTATTGTATTCTAGAAGATTTGGAACAAAGATACAATTTGTCAATCCTAATATTAGGTATCTTTTACTGTACTACAAAGATATGGCGTCAAAAGTTTAATAAAAATTAACCAAAAAAAGCAAAGTACATAAATATTTGTTTTTTTATCAATATACTCAATATAAATTAGAATTTTTCTAAACAATGGTATAGCAAATAAATTTAGGATATAGAACACTAATATCATTACATAAGCTGAAGATAATAAGAAAGAGCTTGAGCATTAGAGTAAGCAGGAGGAGGATATGAGGTAGAAGGGGGATAATTATTATTGTTATTATGGTTATTAATTATTGTTGATTTCCGTCCTGAATTATGATCTTTAAAAAATAGAACTATTCCCATTACTACTACTGATGTCGTCGTTGCTGTACTTGTCGAGGAACCTGAATTTTTATTTGGATGAAATAGACTAAATAAGAAAATTTGGAGAACATACATTTACTTTGATTAAACATATTAGGCATTGTAGATTATATAAAGTCGTTTAATGAGCGTAGAACTATTTAGACACCAATTTTTATCAAGCTAGCTTAAATATTTGTGGAGTTGTGAATTTTTTTGGTAGATTAAATAAAGTTGTTTATTAGGTATGAAACGGAACTACTTAAATATAAATTTTATCAAGCTAGTTCAAATACTTGTGAAATTAATGAGTATTTTTTTTTAAGGACATTAATTTTTAATTTTATTTATTTAGTTCTTTTTTTGTGTAAAAAATTAAAATAAAACAATATTATTAATATTGTATACAAGCTCAAATTTTATTTATCATTTTATGAAAGTCTTATTTTTCGTATTTTTCAAATTTTTCAAGATTTTTGAGCCAATCATATTTGAGAAAAGAGCTGCTCTAATTTGTACAAAAGTTAATAGTACTGTATTGTATAATTTTACCGTACAGTACAACTTATAGACTCACTTATTTAGAGAATCTACACTAAATTTGGCTGTTATTTTACAATACTGTATCATAGCAACTATTTATTATTTAGTAAAACTCCTGATATTTTTATAATACAAGTTGAATGAATTCTAAACTCATCAAAAGACAATGAGAATATGCGGACTCACTTTATTTTGATGGTACGACTAGCACTAGAGCAATGTAATGTGAATGCTCAGCTCTCAATTCAGCCAATAATTCTACAATTAACTTTTTATTTTTTTTTTCAAATTACCGCATGACTCTATTATAAGAAAGTAATTAGAAATATTACAGTACAGTACATGAGCAGCAAAATATTAACGTTATGTGATATTAATCATCTCACGTGTGGAGGATTAGTTATAAGTCGAATTCTTTAATTTATACGAAGATACTATTCTCGCGCAACCCTTGTAGGTTAAGTATAATACAAGGGAAATTAATATCAAACATATTAAGTAAAGTGATAACGGACTTTGAATTTGAATGATTTAACATAATCGATTTTTTACGTCGCTTAAAAAAAAAAAAAATAGACCATCCGGCTTCTTCCTCTTTTACTTGTACAAAAAATATAATAAAGGACAGGAAATATCACATAAAGTATAAAAAAAAGTTCGCAAATAAAGCTTATAATCAATTGATAGCTGTTGTTATTTCATTACATTATTCATATATTATTCATATAAAATTGATAGAAATGTAGATAAAAACAGCAAGTTAATTCTCAGTTTCCTGTTTTTCGATTTTCCCAATTTCCGGCCTGAAAGTATTCTTTAATGGAGCTTAAGTCATCAGAGATCGCGTCTAGTTTTTCTAGTATCTAGACATGAGATATTTAAATCAGTAATCTTTTTTCACTTACCATCGACTGGTCTGATCAAAGCAGTAATTGAAGTATGAAACATTCCCCAAAAAGAGAAACGCAAAAGCTCCAACACCCGCGTATGTGACGATATTTTTCATTTTATCATCTTTATTTGCTATTTAGTATAATTTACTTATTTTTATATTCCTTAATAAAATTTATTAACACCAACAACCAATAATACCTTCACGAGTTACATTAGTAGAATATCTTTTAATGGGTGACAAATTTCTTCCAACAATATGTCTGAACATTGTTATATCAAATTTGTTTTTTAGTAAAAGTATCTTTTTATTTTTTTTTTTTTTTTGGTATTTTTTTAAGATACGAAGAATGAAAAAGTTTTAAAGAAAAAGTCTATAATTTGAGGCTATCATATATACACGAAATAGTGATTCGATCCTATTCTACATGTACCAATTGTACTATCACGTGATATCATACATTGAATCACGTGATACAAATGTCAGATTCACTTTTTGACTGCGAGTGATGTCATAAATTTCTGGCGATTACCACATTCATTTATTTTATCGTAAATCTGAATATCTGATGAGTAAAAATTTATTACTCGCCATATTTGTATATTCATCATCTTGACGTAGAGTATAATGTAAGAATAGAGAAAATAATTGACGTGGAGGAAGAAGTGATGACAGTACTTAAAAATAGTTTATTAGAAAAACGAAAAATTGTTTAACAAAAGGGAAAAAGTTTTTGTAATAATGGATATTTTGAAGCTTAATAGTAAAGTTAAGGACAAAGGGAATATCGAATCTAGTTATTTGATTAATTGGGTGATACGACAAGATGTTTATAATGCGCCTGATAAAATAAGAATTAGCGTAAAGTTCCAGCAACGCCAATGAGGCAAGAATAATTTTAAGAGGTCTGATAATGGCGTTGCTATTAATTGATAGTAACAATGAGATCTATTTGGGTATAAATGAAAAAGCAGGAAGAGTTATAGAAAATTTTTTATAAAATGCAAATAATCGAAGGAGAATAGACGATTGATTATTACGTTGAAACAATTGTATAGGTGTATGTGATGCTAATGGTTTTGGTACGAAATCTCGAAAATCATTTGAGTGACTGACACAAGACCGACAACAAAATCTCGACAATCCAATATCTTGACAAGTCAAAATCCTGACAAAATTATAACACATTTAAACTAAATATTACATATTGTAACAAATTATTTTATTAGAAACACACATCACAAAATTGTCGATATAATGGCTTGTTGGGATTTGAGATTTTGGATTGTCGAGATTTTGTTGTCGATCTTGTGTTAGTCGTGCAAGTGACTGTCGTGATTTTTTTGATCGGATACCGAATTTACTATATGTTTACTGCAATTTGCTACATATTTATTATAAAATTAATACAAATTTTCTATAAATTGATTACACGTTTAATGTTACAATTTCTATATTATGACACACATTTTTCTATATTAAATGCATACAACTGCGTTAGAATTAACATAGAGTGGCCGTACGCCTACTATTAAGTGGCAGCAGCATGGCTACTACATAGCCGCGATTTCATAGGTTTCAGCAAAGTATTTTATAGATATGAATAAAAGTAACAACTGAAATATCTGAAAGAGAAGAGAAAGCTCAGAAAGTGGAGAGAGAATAAATGTAACGCGCTAAAAAATAAAATAAAATAAAAATCCGAAATTAAGTCCCATCACAGATCACGTGATAGTGATTTTTTATGGTGATGCTGGGGAAGATGAAGTCACAATATATTGCGAACATGCTTTTGAATTTCAAAAATTATTGTTTTATTTCAAAGTTTTTCTGTTATCGAATGTTCGAATGTTTAATTCATTGTAAAAATCAAAACATTTTGAATGATACTTAAGAAAAAATAATTAGACTAATAATAATAATATAATTATGACTGAATACAATTAATAGAAATAATATTCAACCAATTATAATATAATTAATAGAAATAATATAAATATGATAAATAAGAATAGAAATTAGAGGAATAGATATAATGGATTCACGTCTTTCATATCGTTGGGATAATAACTTAATAAACAATTAACAGTCAAAACTCCAATTACCAATAGTGCCATAAAAAAAACACGAATGATCGCCATCGAAAGGACCTCGGACTTTTTCTAGCTGCAAACTAGCTTCAACTTTCGCAACAATATAGTACTGTTGATTGCCAAATTCAATGACCTTATCTGCGCCATCACAAGTATGGTAGTGTCTTTTTCCATCACCAGCTATGCGATTATGATTTGCATCTTCTACCCAAAATCTGCACAAAACGCCCAAAGTCTGTTTTATTGTGGCCTTATATGCTATAAATAAAACAAAAAAGTAGAATTATTAGAAAAGAGAATGGAGAAAATACTGAATATGATAAGAACTATACCTTGGCTTTCAAGAACAGATAAACACATGAAAAAGATGGTAAGAAGGTAAAAGCTTTGAAGTTTCATATTGGTTTTAGATTTATGATGTTACGGTTTGTTATGAAAAGAAAAAAAAAAATTTTGGTGGGAATGGCAAGATTATATATAATTAAAGAATCAAGGGGAGATTATCCGAATTTTTTTTTAAACCCCATAAAGGCCATAAGTAAATTACTAATATATAATGAAAATTACAATTCTTTCTTACTGTATCTTCTTTTTTAAAAAAATAATCTAAAGAGATGCGAAATCTCATTTATTAGAAATTTATAAGGTAATAAATCCCACAAACCGTATTGTAATTTATTAGTATAATAGATAAGATGGTAGCCTATAATGGTTACAGTACATTTGTTGTAATTATTACGGCAGAAAAAAAAAGGAAAAATGATAAATTATCTATGGCAAATTAAAATCCTGAAAGTTCGAAATCATGAAACTTCATTATCACTACTTCGATACTCATTATCCAGACAATCATGTTAAAAAAAAAATATATTTATAAACTAGTGTAACCTGTTGTATTGCAACAGGATAAATCAACATTGATGAAATTTCTGGTATATATTTAAGAAATCAATTATTACAATGTTTATTTATAATTGAATTATAATATGAGTAAAAAAATAAAATTTATTAATTTACCAATTAAATAAGATAAATTATTTTAATTAATTATTATAAGTATTATTTATACTAATTATTTAAAAAAAAATTTTCTATTTAATTATAAATTTTAATTTAAATCAAATTTTTAAAGTTAGGGGTAGAGTAAGGGCAGTGACATTTATTACGCAATATTTTAGGGGGTGGGTATTTGAATCTACAAACACGTTTTTTTTTCATTTAATAAAAAAGATTTTTTTTTTTTTTTTGTTTCTTTTAGGTTATCGAACTTGGAAGAACTTTGTTGTCTAATTGTATTAAAGAAATGTACTAACGTTTCTTTTTTTCATTTTTTTGGGTTACCGGACTCCTAGGAAATTGGAAGAAAGGTCATATAACATATAGATGTAACGTAAGATTTATAATAAATGGATATTACGAAATAAATGCAACGTTACTTCGCGTGTCGCATAAATATCATGATTTGCAGTCGTGAAAATCAATTACGTAATAAATGTCACTGGCCCTAACAATATATTTCGCGTGTCGTGAAAATCATTGATATTCATGACCCCCGAAATAACTATTGCGGATATTATCACTGCCCTAACGTTATTTCGCGTGTCTCATAAATATCATGATTTTCACGGCGCAGTCGTGAAAATCATTGATATTCATGAAATAACTATTAAACTATTATGAATTTAATTAATTTTTTTGGACATTCCCTATAGTGATTTTCATTAGGGAGAATTATCTACCCTTAAAAAATGTATTTATTCCAACTAAAAATCAATACCAACCATATTTGTTTCAAATAAAAAAATACATATATATTTATTTATTTTGATTATATTGCCTATCCACTATCCAGAAAGAATTAAAGAAAATCAGAAAAGGGGGGTTTTCCTGAAGTTAAATTCCCGATTGGCCATTTCCCGAACTGGATCATTTCCTGAAACTCCCAAAGATGAAATAAATAATAATATACCTATAACCTATACATATATAAGTTAATAAAAATAAAAAGAATATTAATAAATTATAAAGGGAAAAAACAATTCAGTTTTAAAAAAAAAAACCAGGCGGTTAAAAATTCAGTTTCAGCTTTAAGAAAAAATTATTTAAATATCAGTTTTAAAAAACCGAATAAAATATTACCATTGAAAAAAAAATTCGGTCTAAAAAAAAAAGCTTCGGTCCAAAAAGAAACCAAAAAAAATAAATATAAAAAAAAATCAGTTAAAAAAGGAGACCAGAAAAGAGACTGAAAAAAACAACGGTAATATTATTAAAAAAAAATTTTGCCTAAAAAAAGACAAAAAAAGCTTTCTTTTTAAAATCATTGCGGATACAATCTTCCTTTTCCTTTCGTTTTCCCCTTTCCCTTCCCTTTCCTTTCATTTCCCCCTTCCCTTTTGTTTTTCCCTTTCCCCCCTGGTCGATGTTGCTGCACTTCAACGTGGTGATCAGGTAACAACAAGTTTTTTAAAAAGACTTGGCCAAGTCAGCAATAAATAGTTCACTTTACTAATTTATTAAATTGATTTCATATAAATATAGCTAAATAAATAATTTGATATATCAATTATGATTCCAATTTTTAAATTATGAAAAATAATTACTAAATTTCATTAAAAAAAAAATTTATAACATTAAAAAATACTTAGTACTTATTTTAGAAGACGAAATTAAGTTTATTTGTTTATGTCTGTTATTATATTACTTATTTACTTATCTCAATATTTCCTGAAATAATTTTTGGAAAATTTATTAAAAAATACTTACGTATCAACTTTTATTGAAGTATAGCTTTAAATTTTAAATTGATCGTTAGTTAACTTTTTATGATTTATCTTACATTTCAAGTTTTTGATAAAGAATATTTGAAATGGAAAAATAAATTACATATTCTAAAATTATATTTTATTGGAAAACAATAAATCAGATTTTGAAATGAATTCAAATAATAAATTTCTTGTAGAGGAATTTTTAGACGAATTCAGTTTAAAGTTTACTGCAGCGAAACAATCAAGTTTTTGGTCTCTTTTTGATAAATAAATTTTGATATATACAGTAAATTCCATTATTTTTGGTCATAACTTGTTAATTATTTAAAATCAAATTGATTGCATAATTATTTAAACACCTAGATACGTTCTCTATAACTAAACAATCTACGGCACATCAATGATGATTTCATCTGCACGATGACCTGTGCGAAACCCTGCTTAAAGTCATCTTTTTTGACCTCGACTAATCCAGTTATCCTTCCGGTTGAATGACAATAGTCTATCTCCAAAACGAGGTTTCTTTGCCCGTTATGATCTTTGACGAGTTTTCTGGTATGATTTTGAAATTTTTCTCGTACAATGACACACCGCTGGCTAGTAACAAAATAACAGTACGAATAGATAGATTTTGTTGCCTCATATGCCATGTCAATGGACGGTCTTCTTACGAAGGTTCAGTTCGGCCATTAGATTAAGGATGGTCATCAGTCCTAAAAGACCGTGGTCCTACGGTCTACACCTTAAAAAGACAGACTGGTTCTTCTTGGTGTAGGAAAGGACCACAGTCTTTTTAAGACCGAACGGTCTTTTTTCTTTTTTGCAAATAAAAAAATTTTTTTAGCTTTAAATTTAATATAAAAATCATTTATTATATGAAGACCGGTATGCGGACTGGTCAGTCCTTGGGACCGGTCCTACTGTGCCACACAAATGCAAGACCATATATATAAAGGATCTTTATTATATAATATTTTAAATAATTAATCAAGTTTTTGCATAAATTGATAAATGTCGAAGTGTAAATCATTGTATTTTTGAACTTTAATATTATATAACTTAAATTCCTTCACTTCATCACTAAAATCAAACAATTCATTATAAAGATTCCTAAAATTCAAATACCTGACTCTTTTCTCCTTCATTATATATTTTTTTATATAAGGTAAAATAATATCATTATTATTTTTCTGATTCAAATCTCTAATTAACAATTTCTTAATAAAAGTACCTTTGGAATTTTTTAGGAATACTTCAAAATCACTTGCTTCAATGCAGAGAGTCAAATCTAAATATTCTAATTTAGAAGGAAGGATTTGTCCTAAATTTTGTAATCCATTTAATTTAAATCTTTCACTACTAATAAAAAGACAATTAAGATTTTGTTTTATATTTTCAATCAAATTGAGTACTACTGGATAAATAATCTCATTTTTGATTCCATCAATATCAAGAAATTTGATACTTTTACAATATTTTATAACTGATTCAAGTATTTGTTGTTTAAGTTCGCTCCAGAAATACCCTAAACGATTGACACTGAAATTCTTTAAATAACCACCAGATTTTTGTAATAATAATAATAATGATTCATCAATTTCTGATGTTGCATTTATGAATAAGGATTTTAATTTAAATGGTTTGATTAAATTAAGAATTTGTTGAATAAAACTAATATTTAAAAAACGACAATAAATGATATGAACAGATTCTAAAACATTTAATTGTTCAATTGTCTTATCTAAATTGATTATACCTTTAAAATCGACACGATAAAATGTAATTGTATTTAAGGTATTTGAACAATTAGAATCTTTTGATGATAATAATGATTGATAAAAAAGAAATTCCTTATTACTATGTAAACTTAATAAAATATTTTTAAGATTTTGATGTAAATTGATTACTTGTAATACACGATTGATAATTAGCATATTATTGTCATTATTAGTTCTTAAAATAAAAAGTTTTAGATTTTTAATATTGCGAATGAAATTTGGATTTTGTAAAATTAACTCAAGAATGCCATCGAAACATCTGATACAAAAATTTATCTCAATTTCAAGGGTATGTAAATTTACTTCATTTTCAACAAATATTTTTAATAATGATATAATTAATTTTTTAATATAATATAAATTATTAAATCCGCTAGCAGTATAAAACCAATTTTCAACAGAAGTAACAATCTTCAACAAATTCAAATATTTTATAAAACTAGGATAATTGAAAAGTGTATTTGAAAGTAATAAATTTTTAGTAATTTTATATTTATTAATATTGTTTTTAATTCACCATTTAAATTATGTAGGTAAATTTCAATAAAGTTATAATTTCTAGTAGGTATTGAAAATGGATTTTCCCTAATAATGGAATCGCTAAACGACACCAAAATCTGTTAACTAAAATACATGAATATAAGGTTGAATAATCATTCTGAAAGTACTTTATAATATTCTCTGTTAATTCAGGTAAATTTCCTGAAAATATTTTTGAACATGACATTGTAAGCGAAGAGGCGAAAGAGAAAAAGAAAGTATTTGTGTATCACATTTCACTACCGGATAAAATTATATTAATTTCGGAATGGTGATATTCGATATTGTCGCACAATTATTGTGTGTAACATGTTTAATAACTAAATTTACCTCTAAAAAATTACTCAAATGTTAGAATGAATATTGTTGGGTTTCACCGACTATAATTATTAAATAAAAAATTTAACAACTAGATTATTTGATATGAAGTCAAAGATTTAGTCACAATTTGTTATAATTTGTCGATCATTTACTTTGAACTTTCTTTTCGATTACTAATAGATAACCATGTGTTTTAATATTTATATTTTTAATTGTTCAAGAGTAACAGGTAATTAGTATCTGAAACTGATTCTTAGAGATTTATAAATAATATCGTGTTTTAAAGAAAATGAAAAATTTTTGGCAGGTGCACAAATTATATAACCTTTCTATAATTCTATAAACGGTAGTTCGTTAATTTCACATGATTCTGTGTTATAGTACCCAAGAAATTACTAAAGTGGTGATAAATCAAAACTCTAAAATTAGATTTGGTTATGATCAACTTTTTTACATATATATATATATAAAAAAACATACAACTACCACAATTTTTCGTAACATTCAACATTATGGTTGATAATAAAGTGATAACAATACACGAACAATGGCATCCTATTCTAGGTAAAGAAATACCTTTGATTGAACCCTACCATTACGTTAAATTAAGTAGAATTTTGTCACCACCAAAATTATTGGCTCATGAAAGTGGAAGTGTAGGCAAAGTTCTTCCATATATCCGACAGAAAGTTAAGATGTGGGGAGCTGATGTTCTTAGAGCAGAAAATATTAAAACTTTGATCGATGAAGATGATGAACTTTCTGATGAAGAGTCAATGATAGATGAAAGCCAAGATTTAAAGAGAAATCAATTGTCTCGGTTTGATTGCATTGCTAGTTTGCTTGCCTCTGCTGAATGTACTGTGGCTCAAGATATTTTTCGAACTTTATCACAATTTCCAATTGCATTTCCCTTGGTATTACCTGAATTAGATGAAGCAGGAAAATTTAAAGTAATGCTTCCCTCATTTACTGGTCCAATTATTAAATGGGAAACAAAGCCTGGAACAATTATTGAAAATCACCTTTTCAATGATCCATTCCAATTAATAGTCGCTGTTCGAATCGGAAATAATTCTTCAGGCAAAAGTACTATTCTTAATCAATTAATGGCCTCGAATACTATGTTCTCTTCACGTTCTGATCCAAGAGCAGAATATGGAATACCACATATGATCAGCGGAAGCATCGAGTTTACCTGGCTGACCAAAGAAACCTGTAGCATAAGTTTATGGAATGATGTTTTTGAAAACTACTATAAAGAAGGAACAAATAAAATTATATTGCTCGCAAATTTACATGTGATGCCTTAGATTATCCAAATCAAATTCAATTTTTAAAACAATTCCCTTCTAGTTTCTTGGTTTTTTTAATGTCTGGATATACTGAAAATAAATTAAATGAATTTAAAGTCCAAATTGGTTCCAAAAAAGTGGTATATGGCTACGTAAGTGACGAAAAAAAGGATAAACACACAATTAATATTAATCATTTAATGCACGACAGAACAATGAAGAAAGTACGTATGATGTTCAAGGAAGCTTTAGATATTGATAATTCGGATACTTTGCCATTCAAGATCAGTGAAATAAAATTGGGAAAATCGCTTCAATTTAGTGAAGATATTGAATTTCATGTGTCTCAACTTTTGGTAGATTATGTTAAAGAAAAAACTTGTCGTCACATTAAACTAAATGTTATGCAACTTCAAAGAAGACAACAATCTGATGATGGTCTCCAAATTTGGAAAAATAATTCTGAATTGCAAGTATTAATTCAATTATTTAAATTCGTTCTAAAACTACCCATTAACAAAAGAATACAAGCTTTAGCACACCTTGAAAGAGAAATATCCAGGCTCTCTATGATAGAATCTTCTAAAGCTCGAAATCAGGCTGTATTGAAAAATGAAGAATTACGTAAATCCAGTTTGGTCAACAGGAGTCAAAAAGATGAGAAAACAATTCAAGATGAAATTGCAAAAATTTGGGCAGAAGTTGATGACATGAGTTTAGGTTTAGAACACTTTTTCCGTGAATTGGGACAACTATATGAAATTTTTTCTGTTAATAATCCAAGTGATGAAATCATTTTGAAATTACCTAAACTTTATTCAGAATTATTAATTAGTGGACACACTATAGAATTAGTTAATGGGGATACTGGAACTATGTCAGAAACTTGGTTCTCGGCTATTTGCCAACATATTTGTAATGAATATCCTAATCTTAAAATTTTCGTGATCAGTATACTTGGTTTGCAGTCATCAGGAAAATCTACTCTATTGAATGCTCTTTTTGCATGTAGATTTGCTGTTTCAGTTGGACGTTGTATTAGAGGTCTTTTTATGCGGCTATTATTTTTGGAAAAAGATTTATCAGACGAACTTAATATTGATGCATTTATCTTGATTGACAGTGAGGGTCTTGGTGCATCAGAAAAGATGAACGATCCAGAATCAGAAAAGAAAGATCGAAAATTAACAACTTTTGCGATGGGCGTTAGTAATTTAACAATTCTCAATGTACTTGGAGAATCAACGCGAGACTTGGCACGTCTTGAAAAAGCTGGAATGGCACCTGATATTCTTATGGTACAGCATGTTTCTGAACGAAATATAACAAAAATATCCGAGCCAGAGGAAAAATTTCGGGAAGCTCTTCGGGAAGCTTTAAAAATAGCTAACGAACAAGATCAAGAAATGGGAATTTCTAATACAGACTGTTTTCATATTCTTGATGAAAGAATACAAAATGGCCAGCTTCTCAAACCATTTAGACCATTTAAAAATGGTGCAACTGCTTACGCTCCACCGTCAGAACAATATCATGAAGATGTTGTCAATCTCTATAATTCTATAATTGAAGACAGTAAGAATTCTAAAAACAAAATTAAATTTTCAACGTGGTATTCATTAATTCAGAGTTACTGGAAGGCAGTCTCTAATGAGAACTTTGCTGTTCGTTTCAAAAATATCAAAGAAATTTATGAATTTATTGATTCTGGTAAACGAATCACAAAGTTGAAGGAAACAATTGACAGATCATTCCAAAAACATAAGGAATCAATTATGCAAGAAGTTCGTTCTAAACTTCTGAATTGGTCTCCAAATGACAAGTCAAACATAAATTCAATTCTTCGAAATGAATGTTTAAAATTAATTAATGAGAAACTAAGAAACGTCCCAGATTGTAATATTAAATGTGAATATGAGGAAATAGATAAAGAAGAATCCAAATTTGAGTTTGAGTTTAACATTAAAATCAAATGTGAAGAATGTGAGAAAACAAATAAAGAAAGAATTGAATTAGAAGAGTACCTTCGGGATAAAAATAATGAGAAGTGTGAAATGGAAGCTAAACAAACGATTGAAAATTATATCAAACTTAATCGTAAATCTTTATTCACAAAACTTACTCAAATGCTTGAAACCAGCTTTATTCGAAAAGGTATTTCATCTGAATCTTCCGACATAGTAATTAACACACATTTAGAAAATATTCTAAAAAACATGTCAAATGAAGGATTATCTAATCAGCAACGGCAACAAAAAATCGATGACGTATGGAATTTATTACAACAACATATGTTATCAAAAGATAATACTATACCAATAGAAGAAAAAATAAATAAAGAGATTAAAGATGAATATTATTTATTACCAAGAGAAATTTATCATCAATACATAAAAGGAAATATACCAGATTTATCTAACCGTAAAGCATATAAAATAATTAGCAAGCCATATTTAGATCATTTTTCACAATTTATAGAAACGAAAGAACTCGTGGTTCTTGAGGACAAGCTTGATAATTTGATAGATGATATTTTAAAAGAAAAAGCTGCTTATTATTTTTATCATGGAATTATACGTGATCTCAAAAATAGAATATTAAAAATTTGCCCAAATTATTATTTGCCCGAGTTCAAATGGAATGTTCACTTATATGCTTTGTTGATGTTTAAACCAAAAATGATTAGTTGCCAAGAAAAATGGGATAAGGAAAATACTCCGCTTGGCATACTTAATTAAAAAAAAGATGAATATTTAAAGATAATTAATATTCGGCTCCAATATGGACATACACTTGTTTCTGAGGGTCATATCGTTGCGGATTATTTAATGAGAGTAATTCACAAAAAAGCCATGAATGCAGGAAATAATGAACGAAAAGATTCTGTACGTAATATCGCTTGGTTAATCTGTGCTGAATCAATTAGACTTAAATACTTTGAAAATCTTGCTGAAAAAGTTCATAATGGTGAAAAAGAAGATGCCATACGACATTTTTTGAATCCAAAACGATGCATAGAAAGTTGGTTTGTACGTACAATTAATAGTAATTCAAGCGGAAACCCAGAACAAAAATATAAAGATACTTTTAGTGCAGAATTCAAACGAGTACTTCAAGAAATTCGTACCTGTCACAGTTATGAGGAAATAAAGAAATTTGTAAACAATTACATGATTCAGGTTGATAATGTTGATTACAAATTAGATCTTTACGGTCAAATTACGGAAAATGATTTAAAAATATTCCAAGACATTATCGAGAAAGAACTTGAAACTAAAGGGAATAATCATCCTCCAAGACGAGAACCTTTTCAAAAGCCATCTGATGACAAATCAATCATGGAAAGGCTTGGTTGTACCGAAGCATGCTATTTGTGCGGGGCTTTGTGCTGGGGATCTCGGGATCATCATGAAAACGTTGACGAAACAAAAATACATCATTCTAGCCATCAATCCGCTGGTCTTGCATGTGTAACTAATGACACGGACGAACTTGTAGCAACGCCATGTCATAATAGAACAGATGACACGAACATGTGGTATTTTAACAAGAACGAATCAACAAAAAGAAGTTTTGCAAAAGTCCAAGATTTTTCAGATTGGAAATTTGATGATCCTCATTGCATGCATGTTTTTAACGATCTTATGTGTTGGTTCTTTGATAAGTTACATAAAGATTTGGCAAAAAGTCGTAACTTAAAACCAGCATCTTATGATGATTTGAAGAAAAACGGGTGTTTATCCTTGAATTATAATGATATTATTAGCACACTCAAAACAAAAATCGGAGAGTAAGTACTGTATCTCAACGGTCAGTCAAAGAAAAAAAAAATTTACATTTATAAGATAAGCTAATCAGATAGTAATTTACCTTCCAATTTAAATTCTTTAAGAATGTTTAACACTATTTTAGTAAATAAAAAGATTGCATACTTTTTTTCATGTAACATAGAATTAATTTGAAACAATTATTTGCGTTATACATAAACTGCCACCTTTCCTGATTAACTATTCTTTCTTTCCTACTATGAGTATTAATTATATTAAATATATAATGAGGACAAGGAAAAATTTATCCGATAGCCACATGATTTATTTTTTCATGTTGGAAATCAGGAAACTCTTGATCTGAAATTGGGGATAAAACTTATTGCATAATTTAAATGTATTCAGAATCTTGAATTGCCGATAAAAATAACGGGATTCGGTTGAGATCGTGTGATTATTATGCGCTAAATTAACATCAGTTGGGTATTGATAATGTAGGACCAACTGGAAGATTCGATCGCTCGTATCCGGTCTTCTGTGGCGCACTATTACAGCAAAATTCAAAATATACGGGACACTTGAGAAATTTGATTGTCGGGTTGTCGGGTAGCCGGGTTACTCGGCAGTAGGTTATTTATTAGAAAAGTATAAATAACACGTGACATGAGTATAATAGTAGTAC